CCAACGCCGGATCTGAGCTCTCCCGGGCGCCCAGTCCGTGTGTGTCCAACGCCGGATCTGAGCTCTCCCGGGCGCCCCGTCCGTGTGTGTCCAACGCCGGATCTGAGCTCTCCCGGGCGCCCCGTCCAGGTGTGTGTCCAACGCCGGATCTGAGCTCTCCCGGGCGCCCCGTCCAGGTGTGTCCAACGCCGGATCTGAGCTCTCCCGGGCGCCCAGTCCGTGTGTGTCCAACGCCGGATCTGAGTTCTCCCGGGCGCCCCGTCCAGGTGTGTCCAACGCCGGATCTGAGCTCTCCCGGGCGCCCAGTCCGTGTGTGTCCAACACCGGATCTGAGCTCTCCCGGGCGCCCCGTCCGTGTGTGCCCAACGCCGGATCTGAGCTCTCCCGGGCGCCCCGTCCAGGTGTGTCCAACGCCGGATCTGAGCTCTCCCGGGCGCCCCGTCCGTGTGTGCCCAACGCCGGATCTGAGCTCTCCCGGGCGCCCCGTCCGTGTGTGTCCAACGCCGGATCTGAGCTCTCCCGGGCGCCCCGTCCAGGTGTGTCCAACGCCGGATCTGAGCTCTCCCGGGCGCCCCGTCCGTGTGTGTCCAACGCCGGATCTGAGCTCTCCCGGGCGCCCAGTCCGTGTGTGTCCAACGCCGGATCTGAGCTCTCCCGGGCGCCCCGTCCAGGTGTGTCCAACGCCGGATCTGAGCTCTCCCCGCAGGCCGCGCCTCCTCCTCCGTCCTGCTCCACGCGAGCCCCGGCTCCCGCCTGCGCGCGGGTCGTTCTGCGTCTCCAGGCTGCTCGGCCGCCCGGGACCGGCTCCGCAGCGGCTTCGGAAGAACTACGGTGACGGCTTCGCGGGCCTTTTCGCCGCTGGGCTGGAGGGACACCTCCGGCTTCTCCGTCCACTCCCGCCCCGTGGAGGCCGTTCCTGGGACTGCGAGGCTGACGAACGCCGTCCTGAGGGCGGAGGCTCCGCGGACCACGTGGTCAACTCGGCCTTGTCCCGTGGCCTTTCTCACCCTGAGCTGTTCCGTCTGCGTCGGAGAAGCGTCATGTTCCCCCCTGTTCATAACTTGGGAGCTTTGGAGGATCAAGTGATGGGTAAGTTATGAAAAAGTTTCCTGGTAAATAAATCACTCTGCACATGTTAGTGGTTCCTGTGATTTTCTTCCACATGGAAAGTAAAAGTCTGGAGAGAATGACTTTTACCAGGAATCCAGATCTTATCCGTCCCTTCAGAAGGCGGTTCAGTATTTTAAGCACCTTCCTTTACATTAGTTTATGCATTCATTCCACATACACACTAAAACGTTTCTTGATAAAACACCAATTTGAGGAATTCATGAATCCCTGACTGAAGCTACCAGCTTCTTCTCTGAGACCTAAGTGTTTTTTTGAGGAAGGACGTGAATAAATAATTAAATCAGTGACAGGCAGGGGTGCTGTGGCTGCTCAGTGCGAGGCAGTGTCTGGGGGTCTCCCGCTGAAGGTGGACGGATGGTGGAGGTTGCTCTGCAGAGGGAGAAGGAAGGGACGCAGGATGGGACCCTTGGAGGCCCAGGGAGGTCTCTGAGATCCGCGGGAGGAGCGGGAGAACCCTGGCAGGCTGTCTGCTGTCTTCAGTGGGGATCAGCTTCCTCAGGACTGGACGAGGCCCCGGTGGACTGAGCCATCTGGTGGGCACAGGGAACCAGTCATTCAGAGTAGGAAATTATCCCACTGCTCTAATCTGAGGCTATCACAGAAAATAAAGAGTGAACCATTATAGTTTTGGCAAATAGTGGATAGCATGCAAGAGAGATTCAGCTGCAAAGGTGAGAGTTACCACTGGATCCATGTCCACATGACCAGGGCTAAGACCCATGATTGCCACATGTCCCACCCCATACTGGTGAGCCTGTGTCCAGGGTGACATGTATTCAGCAGCCAGTGTGGCACAGGCAACCACTGTATGACATTCCCCCACTGCCAGGATGTCCTGGCGCCCCCCACATGCCTGTCTGTCTCATTCTCTTGTACCCCAAAGAAGAGAGAGGACCAAAGTTTCCCCACTTAATTACACCGTGTCAGAGCTTTCTGGAGGCAAGAGCATCTTCACTGGAGATACATCTTCTAGTAACAAAAACACTGAAATGCCTTCCTGAAAACTCTCATTAAAATGTAAGGATTCAGGCCACTATTTGACAGCAAAAGAGTCAGGTTCCGGGGCAGCTGGAGGCAGTGGTGGTAACTGGAATGACTTTCCAAAGGGAAGCTGTTTTGCGAACGGTCCTTTCCAGTAGAGATGGCCAATATGCTTTCGAACAGTGCCAGACTGGCTTCCTATTGCCCAGGATTTTGCTCTTTAGTTAAAAGGGTTGTCAACTGCAAAGACTTTTCAACTGCAGGATCATCGGGTTCTGAAGAGTCTCGTGGCCTCTGCGTCTCCAGATACATGCTTTCAAACACTGTGGCCTGATGAAACTATGGGACCATTTGGACCTCAACATAGAGGTTCCAGCTTCCTTGGTTTTGATTGTCACCTCAATGAGACTGGTTCACTGAAGAAAGCCTGGTTCATAAAACTTTGCCTGATATTCTAGCAGAACCTTTATCAGGTGAAAGACAAGTTTATGATGGCACAACGTGTGAATGAATTTTAGGGTAATGAGGCAGCTGTTGAACACAAAATTAACAGCACAGAAACTTTGAAAGTGCCAGAGTAGAGTGTGCAATACAGATATGCCCAGAATTGCTGCAAGAGATTTTGAATCACAGTTTCCGGAAGTTGCTAATAGCAAACTAATGATTCTGACTGTAACACAAAAAAACTAAGAATGATATGATTCGTTAGAATGAAGAAGTCGAAATTGAAAGAGAAGTTCTCTCAGAAAAATTCATCAGTGGTCCCAAGGAAAGTTGCTATGCTCTTCAAGCTGAGGAATATTGGGCTGACTTTATTGATCTATTATCTGGTTTGGCATTTTTTGGGCCATATACAAACAACACTCTTTTTGAGACAGATGAAGGCTACTGACATTTAGGATTCTCTGTCCATGACCTTGGATGTTGTAAAGTGATTTGTCATAGTCTCTGGGGTGCCCATGTAGTTGTGGGAAGTGTCTTCACTAATGCAACACCAGACAGCAGTATTATGAAGAAATCAAGTGGAAATTAGCAGAAATATCATTTATCTGCTGCATTATTTGTATGTAATATTTGGGTTGAACTATAAAGACTGTGAGACTAAAGTTTTTTAAAAGATACTTATTTCTAAGTATTTATTTCAACATTTATGAATTCACAACATTGGCAAGTGATTTGTGATTTTAAAATTGCAAATGTTCATTATTCATATTATCATTGCATACATGTTGAGCATATCCTCATTGTATAGGATGTGGTAATTCGCCTGTAACCAAGGTATGATCTACTATGGTTATTTCTCCCCTTTATTGGGAAAAAGCCTCAGTTTTAATTATTTTCTTTAAAAAATAAATCACACGTTTGGTTATGAAAAAAAAAAAGGTAAGGATTCTTGAGTCAGAATTCTGAAATCTGCATACTGTGGCTGACGTTGTGCTAGTATCACTCATTCCTCATTTGCAAGTATGCATGATGCATGTGAAAATCTCATCTTCCCAAGACAGGTGTGCTAAGATTGTTCTGTCTCATTGTGGAAAAGTTTCAGGTACAAAGTATATGACAAAAACCTGGTTCCATTTCAGCATAGAGCAGGTTGAGCATGTGGCCATGGAGGATTTAGAAGGGAAGAAACATTCAGGAATTTCTGAGACAGAAGTGCGGTAATGAGGAAACCCATCTACATGCATATCTATTTCTGTGTGAATATGAAGTCTGTGGAGGGGAATCAGACTCTTCAGAGAAGCAGTAATATTTTTCAAGACGGCAGTGTACACCGCTTGCCTTCACTGTGTCCTTGGGCACAACAATGAGTGGGAAAGGGACTCGGACGTCCTGTGATTTCCTTCCTTGCTGGGCTCATGCCACTGCTCCTTAATCTGTCCTCCATTAATTAAATTGTTAAATTATTTCCTTTAAGAACCCTCTGTACATTGTTTTACCGTCTTTAGAACATGCATTTCCTACATCAATCGCAAAAAATAGAGAGGAAAGAAATGGAACCCATGACAGGTGATGTCACTCAGTCCTCCAGTTGCTGGGGTTCTCATAAACCTTTTGCACGGTGCTGAACTTCAGGCTGAGTTATGGGTGCCGGTTCCTCACTCTGGACCTATTTTATCCACTGTCTTATTTTTGTGCTTGCACCTATTTTATGAGTGAAAAGCAAGGACAAAATTAGGATGATGCTCTCTGTATTGCAGCTGGAGGCGGAATGGAGTTTTACACAGAATCCATCGTGTGAGATGTCTGTTGCTTGATATCACTTGGTATGTTAGGAGACTTCACGTTGGTTCAACCGGCTCCAAGTTTCTTAGTCCATGATTCCTCGCTGGGCTCCAGCAAATTTTTGGCCTCTTTTAGAGAAGCACCTGGGTTGCAGTGGATTTGAGCATTTTTGTAGGAATTGGAGTGGAAGTGCAGCCATTTGTGTTTCTGAATGGCCACATGAAGCCCAAGGTGAAAGGAATTTTACCACTGGTGGAGAATGATCATCTCAGACCACATCCCTCAAGGGCTGCCCAACTTCCTCCAGCATTCCAAGTTACCTCCTTCACTTTGTGCATGTGAGAACCGCCTGGGCCTGGCTGGGGTCAGGGAAATGGGTTGTCATGGGCACAGCTCTGAGGTCTCCCTTCAGCCTGCAGCCCCCACATCTGTCTGCTCTGCTCACTCCCCGCAGCCTCCAGGCTGTCATCTGTTGTTTGAGGTTGGAGTTCCTCATTTTCTGGGTTGCCAGGCAGGGTGTCAGTCCATTGAGCCAGGAGCAGACCCCCCAGCACAGGATGGCAGTTTCTCATGACATCAGGGACTGGCCTGACTTCAAAGTCATGGCTGGCAATGGCGGGGCTGTGTTTGTGGGACATGGAAGCTGGGGCATGGGGAGCCCTTCACGAGTCATTTTCCAGTTGCTCTGGTGAGAGGTGACAGGGTCACACCAGGGGAATGGGAGTAGGTGGGTGTGGCAGGGAGGGCATAGAGCAAGAGAAGAGTTACATTGGAGGGAGAGAAGGGCTTTGTGGCTCAGGCATCTGAAAGGTCAGGAAGAGCCATGTAGAGTGAGAGGGACAAAGAGGAGAGGCTGTCTCCATCCAAAGGACCCTTGATAAGGAGCACGGAATTGCACCATAGGTGCCTGGGCAGGGACCATTGCAAAAGGAAGTCAGCTTAGGGGAGCCTGTGGCTGAAGAATGATTCCATCACGGGGGTACAGAGGCTAACATTTCTTGCTGTGGGTGATTTAATGTTGGGCCTCAGTATTTCACCTCCCCACCCCTGGAAGAGCATGACACGTCCACATCCTCACCAGGGCCCGAGGGAGGGTAGATGCTTCTAAGTGTGCTGGAGAACTTGGGAAAAAAGAAGGGCCTTCAATTAGCCCCCAAAGTCCCAGGCAAACCGGGGCACTTGCTGTAACAAGTGGAGACATTCCCCAAAGGCTGGGGGCAAGGTGGAGGCATCACGAAGACCCCAACCCTCCGCTGCCTCTCCTGAACAGGGGTACAAAGTCCCAGGCCCCAGAAGGAAAGGGAAGGAGATCCCCAAACCTCTGCTCCAGCCAGGTCCTCCCACTGAGTCCCAGGAGGCGTGACCCTCCGCCTACCGGCCAGCCTGGGGCCTGAGTCACCATGTGGCCACTCCCCCTGAGGACTTCTCTGGCATTCCACTCCCCTCCCCAAAGCTGCGGGTGAAGCAACCCCTGCCCACCCAGGTAGCTGTTGTCCAAGGCCAAGGCCTGCCTGTCCACCTGAATACCCAGGGTGCAGGGGGACCAACCTGATCCCAACTCAACCCTGCAGCAGGTACTTACTGAAATCAGCACGGCCCCCAGGCACTTAGAGCCACATCTGCTTTATCCACCGCAGGGTTATGCTAGCTGCTGTCGGAGCTCCTGCCAGACCCTCCCAGGGACCACAAGCCTGTGCTCAGCCTCACACGTTCTGGCTGGACTTGGTTTTGGCAGGAACCACACCTGACGCTGGGTGAACTGACCCCCAACACGAGGAAATGTACCCAAAATCAGGAAATTATTCACACTCTGAGTCCCCTCAACTTTGGCTGAACTAATAGCAATGACTTTAAAAATATGTCCGCCTTTCGTCTTCTTTGACTCTGATATGAAATGTCTCTACTATCAACTCAGTTGCCAAAAGTCGTTATTGTTACCTCATATTAGGCCCAACCTGGCCACTTAACCCATGCAGGAGCCTCAGGTGAGAGCCCAGGTGTGGCTCCGGGTGAGAGCTCGGCTTGGGCTGCCTGGCATGTGAGCGCCAGGCCTGCGCTTGGCTTTCGAGCTGGCGTCTGTGCCTCGGCTTTCCCGGGACGGCGACAGCGCACTCAGCACTCGCAGCAGCGCGTTTGCCTTCAGGGCTGAGCCGTGCGGTGGCTGCACACCGTGCCTTCGCTCCCATTGTTACTGGCGAATGTAACAGTTAATGAAATAAAATACGATTACTCCTGAGACCGATGTTCACCATGCTGATGACGGGTGGTCTGCTAGTGTTAACGAACTCATCTGATTAGGCCGAGACGCAGCCCAACCTCAGCGAGGACAAGGGACCGGGCGAGATCCCCCATCCCGGGGCTCCCCCCGCCCCCAGCGCGGTCCGGGCGTCCTCCCCGCGGCCACACGGGGGCGCCGCAGGACAGCGCGGAACGCGCCGGGCGCGAGAGAGGGAGGAACGAGGTGGGGAGGGTAAGAGGGAGGAGGGGGCGGGAGAGGGACGCGGAGGGGGCGGGAGAGGGACGCGGAGGGGGCGGGAGGGCCGAGAAGGGGGCTGGGGGACGAGCAGGAAAGAAGAACCGGGAGGGGAGTGGGACGGGGATGCGGAGCGCGGGGCCTGGGGAGTGGGGGCTGAAGGGCGGGGCAGGGGCGCTGGGGAGGCCGGAGGGTCGGGGTCAAGCAGGACAGGGAGTTGAGGGGTGGCCGCGGAGCTGGGGTTCCGGGGTGCCTTTGGAAGCCCTGAGGGGGTTCCTCCATGATGGACGGGTGCCTGCAGCTTGGGCGGGGGGCGGGGGGGGGGAGGGCGCGATGCCTGGCCGGGGTGGAGGGTGGGGTGGGAAGGACCCTGACCGCAGGAGGGCCCGGGCAGCCCTGCGGCAGACGGAAGGAAGCCCCTTGGGAGAGGTGGGAGCCCCCACCGTTGCTCTCCCAGGGCCCACAGGGAAGGGGGTCCCAGGTGACAGGCGTGTCCTGTGTCTCGCCAGAGTCGGATGCAGGGGAAGGCCGAGGGTCATCCTGAAGGCTGAGCTGGGTGGGTTGTGGGCCAGGCGCCAGCCTTCCCCTCTTCCTCTTCGGTGGCCACATTTTAGTAGCCAGGCCACCGAGTGAGGGCACTTCAGGGTGGCCCCTCTGGTGAGCACATGGGGACACCTGTGCACAGGCTCCTGGGTGGGTGGCGCTGAGGGCAGGGGTGTGGGCCCAGAACACAGCCTCCTTGTGCCCGCCGTGCCCTCGGGCCCAGAACTCACCCACCCTATGGGCCCCAGGGGTGAGGTCAGGGCCGTATGCCCTCTGTCTTGTGCCTCGGGTGCTCCTGTGAGTCCCCCACCCACAGCCCCTGAGACCACTGCCCCACAGTGCTGGGCAGCAAGGGTGGGGAGGGACACCAGCTATGGACCTGAAGTGGCACAACTCCCCACCCAGGAGACCCCCAGAGCCATCGCCCCACTAGAAGAAAACAGATTTCCAAAACCCACCACAGGACAAGGCTGGCTCCGGCCCTCTGAGTGAGTCAGCGTGTGGGGCTGCCATCCTGCGGCTGGGCCCCTCTTGGGAGCCCTGGCCGTATCACCGGTAGGTTTGCTGCTGTCTCCAGCCTCTGTGTAGGATGGAACCTCCTGAGGCCTCCGGGGTCTCCGTAGGTGCCTGGGAAGCAGAGGGTGCCGGGTTGGGAGGAGAGTCTGCTGCTTCCCCTTGAAGCCCTGCACCGCCTGCACCCGAGCCCACCACAGCTGTGTGCGAGAACGCCCTCCCTTCCACGCCCCCACACCCACACCCCAGGGGTCCGGGGCCAGCCTGGCGGCCAGAATCTCCGGAGATGCTGCCCCCTCCCCACCAAGGGCCCTTCCCCTTTCTACAGGGCAGAGCTTCCCGCGTCGCAAACCCGGGGTCTCCCCAGTAAGTGCCCAACCTCCCAGGAGCATGGGAGCTGACCCTGCCTGGGAGAGGATGGACAGTCGGACCCAGCCACTGCCACTGTCAGGCCCCCACCCGGCGACACCTCCGCCCCTAGGAAATAGAAACTGGGCTCTTTTAAAATGAAAATCCAGTGTGTGGCTGTAACAGGAGGATTTTCTCTCATCTGCAATGGAACGAATCTCTCAAACCCAGACAGCCTCGGAGCCCCACCGTGGCCCCCCACCCCTTTGATAAGAGGTGCCAAGAGCCCTCTCGAGGCTACATTGAGGCTAGAGGGAGGGGAGGGTCTCGGAGGCGGGGCCTTGAGCCCCAGCGGGAGCTTGAGTCTTTCCCGGAAAGAGGCCAGTGGCCTCTTCCACAGTCCCTGGGTCCTCACGGGAGGGAGGTTAATTTGCACTTGACACGGAGCCGGAGCTTCCTGTCCTATCCCAGGAGCCACACAGAGCCAGGCATTTGGAAACCCCAAGAGGGAGCTCTCCCAAGGGAAGAAACGGTGGGCACGAGGGGTCCCTGCAAGGAGGAGGGACCGAAGGGCGGGCCCACCGCGCATCTCCCGCCTGGAAACCGCCCAGGGTGGAGGGCTCCGTAGCTGGCTTTGCTTGGTTTTATTGGAGTTACACACTGAGAAAGTGCCTGGAGCTCACAGACACAGCTCAGGGCAGACCCACAAAACCACCCGGAGCGAGAGACTGGAGGGGCTGGGCTGCTGGCGGGGGCGGGGCCTCGGAGGCGGGGCGGGGGCGGGGTCTCTGGTGCAGGGGCGGGATCTTTGGGGCAGGGGCGGGGTCTCGCAGGTGAGGGGCGGGGTCTTTGAGGCGGGGCGGGGTCGGGGTCTGGAAGGCGGGGCGGAGTCTTTGAGGCAGGAGTGGGGTCTCGGAGGTGGGGTGGGTCTCAGAGGCAGGGACGGAGTCCTTGAGGCAGGAGTGGGGTCTCGGAGGTGGGGCGGAGTCTTTGAGGCAGGAGTGGGGTCGCGGGGGCGGGGTCTCAGAGGCGGGGCGGAGTCTTTGAGGCAGGGGCGGGGTCTCGGGTGCGGGGGTTGCCGGAGCCGGGCGGGCGTCTCACTTGCTGCGGGTAGAATGCCGGGGTTCAGCCGGCACAGGCACATCAGCCAGAAGACGCACGCGGTCGTGGACACCCAGATCCAGAAGTCCTCGCGGTCGTGGACACCCAGATCCAGAAGTCCTCGTAGGGCTCGGCGTGCGGCCTGCGGCAGGTGTGGACAGGGTGCCCGTCTTCCTCCCGGAGGCACCCACAGCGGGCCTTGTGGAGCCTGGACCTCAGCCATCTCTTCTAGTAATAGCCCTGGGTGACGTAGCCACTGCCCTGGGCGCCATCGGCAGTGTGGCCACAGGCCTTGCGCTTTATGACATGGAAGACGGAGAAGGTGATGGAGCCCTCGGTGATGATGATGGGGTCCTCACTCACGGTGACGGGGCCCTCAGCATTGGCCTCCGGAGGGAGGTCGTGACCCGCAGTGAGGAGGCTGTCTTTCTTCTCTGCCTTGGGTGATGTCAGTAAAAGAATCTTTGCCTTGGACATCAGCAGGGAAGAAGGAGGGGGCGAGGAAGCCCTTGACCTGGGAGGCAAGGCCACCAGCGTTGGTCTCCAGAAGGGGGTCAGGACCCGCAGGGACCAGGCCCTGGCCGCCTTCTTCCTTCCCATCACCTTCAGCCACCTCGGCAACAGCGCCCTTGACGTCAGTGAAGATGAAAAGGAAGGTGCCCGAGGCCTCGTCAGTGGCCATGGGGCCATTGGTGGCCTCCGAGAGGGTGTAGTTGCTGGCGGTATTGGTGAAGATGTGGGTAAGGGAGGAAGGTAAGGTGAGGGAGCCCTCCCCACTGGCAGAGAGGTCCACACAGTAGAACACGGTTGGCATGAGTTTCCCCACAAAGACCAGGCCATTGCCGAGGGAGACGGGGCCCGGGCCCTAGGCCACACCAACAGGGCTGCAGAGGGAGCCCCAGCTTTTGAAGAAGAAGCTGTTGAGCTCAAAGGTCTGGATGCTGCTGCCGAGGAGGCGGGGGCCGTGGAAGATGGGGTCTCCAAAGTCCACCCAGAAGCCTTTGCCCCCCGACATGGCCACAGAATCCCCAGACAGGTCGATGGAGCCCTGGCCAGTGATGCAGCCCCCAGGACTGCTGGTCACAAGGAAGGAGGCCTCCACAGGGGTGGCAGAGCCCTCAGTGACAGACGCCTGGTCCCTGCCGGCACCCGCAAGGGAGAAGGGGATGGCGGTGACGCCACCACCATTGCTGAGGCTGTCGCCAGGGGCAGGCAGCTGTTTGCCCTTGGAGGCGGCGGTGGTGCCACTCCAGACCGTGGCAGGAAAGTGCCTTTTGTGGCGTTGGCGCTCCAGGCAGGGTGTGGGGCCTTCTGGAAGAAGCAGAGCCCCAGCTCACAGGCCTCGCAGCAGCCCTCATAGGCCGCCCTGGTGAGCAGGCTTGGGCCAAGGCCCTCTCTACAGCAGTCCTTCAGAATGTGCAAGACCAGCCTGCAGAGGAAGGGCCGTGTGCCCGGGGGGGCTCACCTGGCAGCCCCCGGGCACCCAGCACCACCTGCATCACTGGGTGCTGTGTGATGCACACCCTCCAGATGCACACCCTCACCAGCTTCCGGCGGCCGGCCCGGTCCCACCACAAGTGAAAGAGAACCTGCAGGTGGGCAGAGGCCCAGGTACCTGGACAGCGACTGCACTGGAGCCTCCGGGGTGGGGGACGGGGGCGGAAGAGGTGCGGGTGAGTGGAGGGGGAAAAGCCCTGCTGCCGGAGGCCACACAGCCAGCCTTTGAGCTCTGCTCTTCACCCTCCTTGCCCACCCGGCCCCAGCTCCTCGCCACCCCCTGCCCCACATCCCACACTCAAACCTCAAACCTCAAACCTCGCCTGCCAGCCACCAGGGCCGCGGCCAAGGCAGACCAGCACCTGCTCCTGCCAGTGCCGAGGTTCCGAAACCATCGGCCTCTTGGCCACACACAGGCAGAGGCAGGCCCACGCATTCCAGCCTGCAACCCGCTCATCTGGAGCGCTGAGAAGCAAAGTGAACTTATCAGCAGTTTGGCGGCAAAACCCGCTCTGGCCTGGCCTCTGTGAGGCGTCGCGCCTGCTGCGAGTGTGGCTTTGCTGGTTGTTTTGTGAGCTGGGGTTAACACAGGAAGAGGCAGGCCTGCTGACACACTCAGGAGGGGAAAGGCATGGGTCTGGGGCTGTCACTGGGGGCTCAGCAAGTGGGGGTCCCTGTCCCAACTGAGGGGAGGCCATCCCCCTGTCACCTGCTAGCTGAGGGGAAAGATGTCTCGGAGCCCGTGGTCACGGCCCAGGCAGCCCAGCGAGGGGAGATTTGGGGAGAGCACAGGGGTGGGGGGGTTGGCTTGTCCACAGCAGTCACCAGACCAGTGATCATTCAGTAGCCACACAAGCAGCTGTGAGCTTTGGGGAACCCTGCACCAGTGAGAGGCTCTGCTTCAGTGCCAAGCAGTGGAACTTTCCGGATGACTTAATGTGCTGCAGCCACACTGCCCCGCCTGCGACCTCCAACTGCAGTGGCCACAGAGGCGGTGGACACGGTCATGCTGGAGGAACTGCTGACTGTTTAGATGGGACTGAGGAGCCTGTCGAAGCCACAGGCACTGGGGCTGCGTGTTGGGGTGCTGCCGCCTCAGTTCTCTCCCCAGCTGGGCCCAGCTGCAGCCGCATCCACAGCTTTGGCTGCCCAGAGCCATCTCCACCTGGCTGTGGGGACAGTGACGTGCTTCCAAGCACTTCCCAGACCTCAACGTGGGTTATTACTCTGTTAACTTCTGAAAAAGCCGAGATTCTGCACACACAGGGCCCCAGGGGGGTCAGGTGCTGGGGAGCTGTGTCAAAGGCCAGGACAATGGCCCCTCTGCCAGGGCATTCCCACAGAGGGACCAACCAGCCATCATCCTGAGGGCCTGTTGGGCCGGAAGTCTGCGAGGCTGTGGAGCTGCCCTTCGCCCTCCCGGCAGGTGCCCGGCAGAGCTGGGGATGCCTTGCTGGGTGGAACACTCCACCCTGCTGCACTGACAGCTGCCACCATGACAACAGCCCGTGAGGCTCACAGGTGACCCACAGCCACCCGGGCTCCCGATCAGGGCCAAGCACCCCCGAGGTGTGGCCAGCAGATGGCTGCGAGGTCATGGCAGCACCATGGAAACCAGAGATGAGCTTGTGTCCAAGGGGAGCGCCGGCCCGAGGAGCTGAGGGAGGGAAACGAAACCTCCATGAGGCACCTGCCATGTCTTCCCCCAGGCCCCTGCGTCAGCAGCCCTGTGCCAGCATAGAGGGGCAGGCGCTGAGACCAAAAAGGAGCACCCAGCCCCACCCTCCCGTCTCAGGGACAAGACAAGCCCCGACAGCCCTGCCCAGCCTTTTGGGCCCCCCAAGAGCCTGTGGAAAAGCACCTTAAGCCCCTCCCTCCCCAGGGTCCCCAGCCTCCGGCCACACCTCGAGAGCCCCACCAGCAGGTACTGGCATCCTGGGACCAGGCTGTGTTCATGTGGCAGAACCCAGATGTCCCAGGGCTCCCTCTTGGCCATGATCAGGGTGAAGATGCTGGCCCACACGTCTGCCCCGGCCCCATCCATGCTGCGGTCCAGCTCCACAGTGCAGGCTGAGGGTTGCAGCCACCAGGGGACCCAAGGAAGCGCCCACTTGCAGCACCAGCCAATCATGCATGGTCTCCATGGCAACCAGATTTGTCTCAGAGAAATGGGAATCGGAAAGGAAAAATACAATGCAATGCCATCTCCCGTGACCCGGACAGCCTCCCTGTGGCAGCATCGTGCTGGGCCCGTGGACACGCAGGGGCCTCCCCCGGCCTGTGCAGTGCAGAGGCCCTGGTGTTTTCACAGATCACACTCAGGAACCATCCACTGCCTCCTCTTTCTGCTGGGCATCAGGAACAGGGGCCCACTCATCTGCTGCTGAACTCTTGGTATTTTTTCAGCTGTGGCTATCATGTAGCTTACTCAGCCAGCTTCTCTCTGCACACAGCAATAGTGCTTTTCACACAGACAAAGCTATGAAGAACTTTATGGAACGTGTATCATTGCAAATTGTCCCATAGGTGTGTTCTCCTAAGCTCTTTACTCATGAGAAATAGAAAATATTTACATAAAATGCCTAAAACAAATACAGAGCTTCAGAAATTATTCTACAGTCTTAGGTCATCACCTCCCAGAGGAAGAAACAAAACCCTGCCAGCCTCCAGAACCGGCCTGTTCCCTCCCAATTTCAGCCCTTGGTTCCCGCCCCCGCCCTCCTGGCAGAGGTGCCACCGGCCTGGCCGTGCCTGCAGGGATCAGGCAGGGTCCTCAACACCCATGATGCCTCCCTCACCCAGCCCTGGAGCTGCACAGCTTCTGAGCTTTACAGAAACACTTCACGTGTGTGCCCAGCTTCTCACACCTTTTCAGGCTGTTCAGTGTGTGAGATTCAGCGCCATCGCTGTGCCTGGCAACCACCCATCAGGGCACAAGAGAGGCTGAGTCGAGAAGGAGCCGGGAAGCGCCGCCTCGCCCACACGGCAACGTGGAAAGCTCAGCGCAGGTCCACCCGGGAGAGCCTCGGGCCGCCTGGCTCTCCTCACGGATCCCATCTTGCCATCTCTGCCCTGCATGCTGAACCATTTCTTCTCATTTTTCTACCACTCCACACGTTCTCGCTTGGTCTCTGTCCACACTGCGGCTAACCCTGGCAAGCGAGTGCACCGCCGTCACGGTTTTCATTTCTTCTGGCCCTTTCACATCGTCTTTGCTGAACACTTGGTATTCTTCCAGCTTGTGGCTATCGTGCGACTTTATCAAATAACCTTTTGGATGGCAGTCCTGGCCCTTCTGAAAGACACGGACTCTTTCTGCCATGCAGCTAGGTTCGACTGCAAGATAGAAGAGGATGTCACTGGGAAGGGCTCTGGGAAGGCCCCTCAGCATAGCGCGGACGGCTGGGAAGGCCCTGCTTTTCTCCTCCAGCTTCCCTTTCTTCTGTCCATCAGTGCCCGGGTGATGGCCGCCCTCCAGCAGCTGTCCCACACCGGCCTCACGCTTGGAGCTGTGAGCCCAAGGAGCAGGAAGGCAGGAGCCGGGAGCCGTGGTGACAGCCGGAGGGCCACCTGCCTCTGGGTTTCCTGTTCACACAAGAAACAAGCCAGCTGCCGCTGTGGTCTTGATGCTCTGATCTCTGGCACTTTGGATTATCACACAGCCGGAGTGATCCTAACTCACGTGCCAGGTGGCACCTGAGGTCCTGGGGTTTGCTGGTTGGTTCAGGGCCACTGTGCGTGTGTGGGCCCCTGTGATCCCGGTCCTGTGCCTTCAGTGATCTGAGAGACACGGGCTTCCCACTTGTCTCCAAAAGCCTCCGTCCACAGGGCCTCCACAGAGGACCTCCTCCCGCCTGCCACAGCCCCCCAGAGCCAGCGTTTCCTGGCCGTTCCCCACCACACTGGGGCCACAGCCCTGACTGCCAGTAACCCCCACCACCTCCCACCACAGGCTCCTCAGCCCCCACACCTGGCTCTAAGTTTAGGGAAAAGGTTTGGCATGATGACTGACCATAATCACTCAAAATAACCTTTCGAATGGCAATTCTGACCCTTCTGAAATGCAGGGAGCTGGTTGCCCTGACATTCTTTGCTTGAGAATCATTGACTGTTCCCTACACCCATCCCAGAAGACCTCCAGAGGCCCGGGCGGTGGACAGCAGAGAGGGCAGCTTTTCCACGCCTCCATCTATCTGCCCATGTGTCTGTCTCCCCAACCCACAAGCCACACCCTACAAGAGCTGCTTACCTGGCCTCTAACAGGCCAGTCAGCCACGAGCTCACCTGCTGCTTCACCAGGGCTGGAGGAGGCCGGGTTTGCGCAGCACCATGGGTCCCTGCAACATGTGCCAGGTCCTCCTTGGGCGCCTGCATCAGCACCAGCCTGGAGCTAGCCACGGGAGCCCCATATCAGGCTCTAGGACCCAGGCCTGGTGCAAATGCCTTCCGACCCCACTCCCTGCCAGGCTCCCCGAGGGACTTCTCCAGGACAGGGTGGGATGGGGATGGGGGATCAGACCTGGGAATAAACTATCAGGGGGAGCTGGGGGCCCCTTTAGCACTGCCGCCCACCCAGCCCTCGGCACCGCCGCCCACCCGGCTCAGTGGCTTAGCGTTCCCTCCCCCGCAGACACGTGCTCTCCTTCTGGGGACGCTTCCTCACACACTGGTACCTGTCTTCCTGAGCTCAGTTTCTGGGGAGGGCAGGTGGCAGGCTGGGGAGTCCCACCACAGTCTCCCACAGGGAAGGACGTTCCGCCTGGGCCTGAGGGACAGATGCAGCAAATCCCAGTGAGGGAGGGGCTGAAGCCAAGGCCCAGTGGGGCCAGAGGGCGGGTCAGCTGACTGGATGGCGTCCTTGCTCAGCAGGGTACCATCTCTGTGTGTGTGGGAGAGAACAGGGGGAAAGAGACGAGGAAAAGGAGCCGGCAGAGGGTGGCGGCCTTGGCAGGTGCTGGGGCTCGCCCTCCTCCCACAGACCTCAACTCCTGGCTGTAGTGACAAGAACAAGGCCCCCTCCCAGACCCCAGGTCCTGAGGGCCCACTCCCACGGGCAAAGGGTGGCCCAAGGCTCCGTGTGGCTCTGCCCTTGTGCTGCCCAGGCAGGCGGGGGTCCGGTCCCTGCAGCTGGGGATGCAGCCTCTGTCTGGCCATTCTACTGCTGAAGACAGCCCCACTGTCCAAGAGCCCCTTGCTCTCCCGCTCCTACCTGTGGCCCTGCGGGCTGGAAAGGCCACTTCAAAGAGCCATGCAAGGGGCCTCCTGCACGCGCCCTCCCGGCGTCCGGCCCCCAGCCTCTCACTGCTGCTTAGCCTGTTGCAGAGCTTGAGTGACACCCACTGCCCTGGAGTGAGAAGTCACCACACAACACGACACACACAACATACACAGTACACACACCATGCACACCACACACAACACACACACACACATATACATGCACACACTGGGAGACAGCAGGGAGGGTAGAGATCACTTGGCACCCCGTCTTAACAAAAAACCCAACCGTTTTTATTCTGATGTGTAATAAATTGTGGAAATATCTCATTCCATTTTTTAAAAGTTTATTCTTAAATTGGGCAGATAAATTGCGTGTTCGTTTTTAACTTCTGGGAAATGTTTCGAAAACAGGATAGAACAGCATTTTTATTTGCAAACACTATTAACCATTTCCTGTTCCAACCTCAGAAATGGCTATGAATCAGGCGTTGCCTCTCCACATGGTACCCTTGGCCCGGGCCGGCCGCGCCACCGTTTCCACCCCCAGCCCAGCACCTGCGGCCTCCCACTGCAGAGGCAGTTTCGGGATGGTCCTGCTGTTTCCTGTGCTTCCCCGGCCCCGGCCCTGCGTTCCTGAGTCCCTGGGTGGATGGAAACTTCCCGCGGGCCGAGAGAGTGTGCGGGAAATCCCCTCCCCACCACTTTCCATCGTGCTGGCTCCTGTTCCAGCTCACGATGCCCGTCTCATCGCTGCCGTGAGCCCAGCCATGTGTCATGACAGGCAAGCCCCCTAGGAAACTCCAGAGCTTCTCTTCTCAGACCGGGAGCACAGGGAGGGCTCCTTGTCTGGGGCTCTGAGGGCAAGGCCCCTGTCTCGGAAAGCAGCCCAAGAGCCGCCGCTGCCTGAGCTAGCTGGCCCACAGAGGGCTTCCGGGGCCTTTATTCATAGTTGCCAGGAACAGGAGTCCACCCGGATGTACTTAAACTGAAGAATGGCTGACTAAACTGCGGTGTGGACATCCTCACCACAGCAGGGACGGCTCAGCACAGAGAGGAACCGGCTGCTGGAACACACACACTGGGTCATCTCCAAGGAATCCACGCACACAGCACACACCGCACACAGGACAGGCACTGCACCTTCCCACGGCCATCACTGACATGAAACCGTGGTGGAGGGGGGGACAGGCTCGTAGCCACCAGCAGGGACCCCGTGGTGACGGGGACGTTCTGCAGCTCCACCACTGGGGAACACAGGAGCCTTCACTTGTGCCAACATTGTGTGTGCAGCCCCGGATACACACGCATCGCCAGAATGGGGGACTCAGGGTGGGAACAGCGCATCCCACGTCAAAATCATTAACCTGGTTGTGACGTTGTCCTGCGGTTTTCCAACCCTGTCATCATTCAGAGAAACTGAGCCAAGTGTGTGAAGGAACATCTGTTAGAACTACACGTAAATCTACCATTATCTCAATTGAAAATGATGCAATACTCAACAAAAACCTACAACCATCAGCCGGGTGTGGTGGCTCACTTTGGGAGGCCGAGGTGGGAGAATTGCTGGAGGCCTGGAGTTCAAGACCAGCCTGGGCAACATAGGGAGAACCCCCCCACCCGCCCAAATCTCTACCAAAAAACATGTTAGCTACGAGCTGGTCACAAGGTGCACGCCTGTGGCCCCAGCTACTCAGGAGGCCAAGGAAAGAGGCTCACTTGACCCTGGGAGGCAGAGGCTGCAGTAAGCTGAGATCACACGGCTGCACTCCAGCCTGGGTGACAGAGCAAGACTCTGTTTCTAAAAGAACATAAACAAACAAAAGTCACATACAACTTTGTTTGTTGTAAATTATCTTTTAACTGAATGTCCTGGATAGAATCTGGCCGCTCCGATCCCAGGGCCAGTGACTTGTGGGGAACATGACCCTCAGTGAGGAAGGAGCTGGCAGAGGAGGAAGGGCACAGGTGTCCAGGCTCCCTGGGAAGCGAGGGTGAGACAGGAGACTGGGCAGGGTGGGCAGGGCCAGCCAGCCGAGGGCGCCTCAGCCCCATCCACCCCGCTCCCCAGACCCCATCTTCCTCTCCTCCTTGTGACGGAAGCCAGCAGTGGGAGCCTGCTGGGCAGAAGGCTGGAGCTGAGGGTGTGCGTGGAGGAAAGTGTGAGTGCTGGTGAGCATGCGTGTGTCAGAGCATGTGTGTACTGGGGAGCATGTATGTTTGGGGGTTGTGTGTGTGTTGGAAATAGTGTGTTGGGAATTGTTTGTGTTGGGGATTTTGTGTGGTTGTTGTAGGTTGTGTTGGGATTGTGTGTGTTTGGGTTTTGTGTGTGTATTGGGGATTATATGCGTGCTGGGGTTGTATGTATGTGTTAGGTATTGTGTGTGTTGGAAATTATGTGTGTTGGGAATTGTAGGGGGACTGTGTGTGTGTTGGGGATTGTGTGTGTGTGTTGGGGATTGTATATGTTGGGAATTTTGTGTGCATGTTGAAGATTGTGTGCAGGGGAATGTGTGTGTGTTGAGGATTGTGTGTGCTGGGGATTTTATGCATGCGTTGGGGATTCTGTGCATGTTGGGAGTTTTGTGTGTGTGTGTGTGTGTGTGTGTGTGTGTTGGGGATTATATGTGTTGGGGATTGTGTGCGTTGAGGATTGTGTTTTGGGGGTTGTGTGTATTGAGAACTTCATGTATGTGTTGAGGACTGTGTGTGTCGAGGATTTCGTGTGTGTGTTCGGGATTCTATGCATGTCGGAAGTCGTGTGTATGTGTTGGGATTGTGTGTATTGGGGATTGTGTATGTTTTGGGGATTGTGTGTGTTGGGAATTGTGTGTGTGTGTTGAGGATTGTGGGGGGGATTCTGTGTGTTGGAGATTGTGTGTGTATTTGGAATTGTGTGTGTGCTAAGGATTGTTTGTATTGGGGATTTTGTGTGTGTGTTGGGGATTCTGTGCGTGTTGGAAGTTGTGTGTTCAGGATTGTGTGTTGGAGATTGTGTGTGTTGGGAATTTTGTGTTTGTGTGGAAAATTGCGGGGAATTTGTGTGTGTATTGGAGGTTGTGTATTGGAACTGTGCATATGTTGAGGATTGCGTGTGTTGGGGATTTTGTGTGTGTTGCGGACTGTGTGTGTCTTGGGGACTGTGTGTGTTGTGGATTGTGTGCTGGGGATTGTGTGTGTTGTAAATCATGTGTTTTGGGAATTACGTGTGTGTATTGGAGATATTGTGTGTGTGTTGTGGATTGTGTGTTGGGAATTATGTGTGCATATTGGAGATATTGTGCGTGTGTACTGGAGATTGTGTGTATTGGGGATTGTGTGTGTCTTGGGGACTGTGTGTGTTGTGGATTGTGTGTTGGGGATTATGTGTGTTGCAAATCATGTGTTTTGGAAATTGTGTGTGTGTGCTGGAGATTGTGTGTGTTGCGGATCGCGTGTGTGTTGGGACAGTGTATGTGTTTCGGTGAGGGTGTTGGTGAGTGGTCAGGAGCGTGATATTGGAGTGCAGGCCTCATGAGTCCCCACCCTAGGCCTGAGCCCTGGGACCTCCTATCTGCTTCGGGGTGGGGTCCCGGGACCCTGTGGGTTCAGCCCACTAGTCCAGGCCCCATGCCCAACCCCCGCATCCCTGCAGGCCATGTCCTCCAGGCTCAGACCCCAGGCCCCTCCCTGGGTCCATGTGTCCCTTTGCAGGCGCCCCGCTGAGTGGCAGCACGAAGAGACCAGCCTTGGCGCCCACGGGCTGCGGGCTCCATGCTGAGTGCCCCACCAGCTCTCCTCTCCCGCTGTCCCAGGCCCTTCAGTAGGACCAGGGAGAAGAGGGAAGGGGGCGGGCGACAGGGAGGGACAGGAGGGCAACAGCAGGGGGTGGGAGATGGAGAAGGAAGGAGAGGGCAAGGCGGAAGCTGGGCTTCTCCCTGTGCCCACCCCTACCCCAAGACACGAGTCCAAGCACTTGCAGGTGGGATTTTGGGGGCAGGGCCTTGGTGGTGACGAGACCCCCTAGGGGTCTGATGGCATCTTCCATCTCCGAGCCCACCTCCTGGGCCCCAGGTCAGCACACACAGGGGCATTCCCAGTCCTCAGAGGACAACTTTGTCCCACACAGCTCAGAACCTGGAGGAAGGCCCGTTCCAACACCGGCGCAGAGACTGGACACCCCTGGGGCCTGGGGGCAGCGGAGTCTGTCCAGAACCTGCTTTCAGGCCAAGGACAGTCGGGGGGAGGAGGTATCCGCTCATCTACTGCCTGGGCGCGGCGAACGGCTGTGGAGGCGCCTACGGACCAACCCTTCTGCAGCGCCCGGGGTACGAGGGTGGGTGTGCCGGGAGACAGTTGCTGGGCCCACCTTAGCTCTCTGGCAGCATCATGGGTGCTGCCAGGCTCCCGAGGGCCCCCAAAAGCCCACCTGGCCAGCCTGGCCGCCCGCCCCCCACCAAGCCACCCACACAGCCTCCTGTCTCTGAGACCCGGGAGTGGCCCTTTGTTCATAAGCGAGAGCTTCCTCGCGCCTCACAGACATCATCTTTGATGCTCTTTTTGCACCGTTTCGGTGTCTTTAATGTTTCCCTTCACAGCCGGGCGAGTGCCTCTCGGAGCCAGGCGGCCTCGCCAGCTGTCAGGCGGTTTCTAGCCTCGCTTCGGTTATTTTAAGCTGATGAGCCTGACGCATCTCGTCACTAATATCAGCAGTTTCATTTCTCCTGTTTTCCATTCACTGTAATGAAATGCTCACGCAGAATGCAAGGAGATGAGCAAGCCATGTCACAGACGCCGGCGTCAGCCAGGCCCAGGCACTGGACCCCCAAACCACCACACCCCGGCACAGGGGGGCTGGAGGGTGGGCTGGGGGTTAGGGGGAGGTCAGCCTCACGGCCAGCACCCTCCCACCAGGCTGTTGGAGGTGTCACTGAGTGGAAAGATCTGGAAATGCGGCCACCGTGTGGGGTCATCCAGAAGGTGGAAGGTGAAGGGGAGTGGTTAGCCGTGGACAGTTGTCACTCAGTGGGGTTACCTGTGCTCCAGAGAGGGGACTGGGCGGAGAAGGCAGAGCCAGACACCTGCCCCCAGCAGGGCAGACCCTATGGGCAGCCCCAGGCTCCCAGAGGCGCTGACTGAATGAGAGTGGGGTCCAGCCTACCCCCCACTGCAGCCCCAGGAACCTGAGCCCAGAGGGGACCCCCCACCTTCCCAGGCAGGAAGGCCTGGCCCCCAGGGAGACGGTGGGGGGTGGGGGAAGGGGAGGTCCTGTGCCCATCCCACAGCCTCAGGAAGGGCAGCTCAGGCTGGTTCTGGAAAGAGGCCACAGTGGTGAGCAGAGACACAGAACGGAGGAGGGGCCTGAGCTGGGGAGACCCTCACGGGGTGGGGGTTGCGGGCCCACCTGCTCCCCATCTCCTCTGTCTCTGTCTCTCTCCCTCCCCCACGCTCCTCTCCCCCTCCCCCAGCACTGCCTCTGTCACTCCCGCCCACATGGAGTGGAGGAAGAGGGGGTGGGAGCAAGGGGCGGGCACTCTCCCTTCGACCTCCCTGGGACAGTTTCCCTTCCGCTCACGTCTGCCTGAGCAGTAGAGGCAGTGGCTGGCGCTGGCTGGGCTGCTCCCGGCATGCAGGTCCCACGGGCGCCCTGGCCGGTCATCTGGGCGGTGCTACAGCTGGGCTGGCGGCAAGGATGGTTCTTAGGTAGGTGGGGTCAGCGGTCAGGTGTCCTGGGGTCAGGGGTCTGGAATGACCTTCCACCCTCAGCCCCTGGCAGGTGGGGGGGGTGCCATGGCGGGCAGTCTAGCTCTGCCCTAACCCAAGCTGCCCCTTGCCCAGGTAACTCCTCCCGGGGCCCAAGTCCCCTCTCTGTTCCTGGGCAGGCAGGACCTCTGTCCTGTCTCAGCCAGTCCTGGGTGCTGCGTGTCTCGGTAAAATGGCAGGTCAGGCTGCCCAGAGCCCCCACCTTGGCCAGGGTGAGTCTATGCGTGGCTCTCCCGGCCCAGGCGGCCTCGATTCTCACTCGAGTTTTCCTAAGGATGGGACCAGCCCCATATGAGACTGATCTTGGCTTTACGACGTCAAGTTTAGATGAACTCATTTTTCTAATTATATCAAAGGGGTACCTGTTTGAGTGAGGACGGTTCCTCTGCCTCCAGGAAACTTCCTGGGTGGGGACGGTGCCCAGCCTGCATCTCTGCCCAGATTCCAGGCCACTCCCAAGCCCTATTCCGGCAGTCCCTGGGAGAGGTCTTGGTCTCATTCTCCCAGATCGAGGAGAAGGGGAGGCTCTTCCTGGGCTGCCGGTCCCCTGGGCCATCTGCGCCCACAACCCACCCCTCAACCGTCTATGCCTGCTGACCCTCTGTGCCCGGCCAGCCTGCACCTGGGGATGCAGAGGCCTGGGGAGGGCAGTTTTCCTCAGGCCCAGCCCAAGGCGGTCCCTCTGGGCCTTGCTGGGCACAGGGCTGTGACGCCAGTGAGAGGACAAGATGAGGGGCCCTGATGCCCCTTGAGGCTCCTGTCCTGGGGGTCCTGCCCCTTCACTGTGGCAGGTGCTGGGGGCTCCCGCCTCAGCCCCTCTCTCAGTGCTGGCTCCTGGGTGCCGGGGCCCTGCCTTTGTACCTAAATGCCACCTCTTCAGGGTGGCCCAGTGGATCTCAGAACTGGAGATGCTGCCGCCAAAACGCACTCCAGCGAGATATTCGTGGGGGGACCAGAGACGTGCGGGGGGCGCTCATCAAGGGGAGGAAGAGCTGAGGCAGGAGGAGGCCAAGCCTCCCCGTGTCGGGGTCTGCAGCCAGCCACTCCTGCTTCAGGTGCCCGCGCGGGTGCAGAGGAGACTCTCAGAGGCGGCAGTCTCTGTTCCCCCACCCCACCCCCCATCACCCTCAGCACAGGGCACTCCGCACGGTGCAGTGGGCATCACTGGAGTCCTGTGTGTCCTGACCCAGACGCAGCCACCCTGGTCGCAGGGTCTTCCTTCCGGGACGCGTCTTTTCCCTCCGGAACGACCCACTGCATTTGCTATTTGGTCACCTCTCCCACCTCAGGAAGGTGTTTTATGAGATTTCCCAAACCCGGTCGCTTGCCGGCCCATATGCGAGCGCAGGAGCGTAAGTAAGAGCCTCTGCTCTGGCGTGGGACCACCGTGAGCGCATCAGAGCCGCACCCCGAGCTCTGGGCCTTTGGCAAGACTTGGCCCCTACTGGCTGCTCCGTGGGCTTCGGGGTTGTAGGTGAGAAGGCCTCCTGGCGACGCTGTGTCCTGAGGATTAAATCAGGTCATTTGTGAAAACCGCCCAGCCCAGCCCGGGACACTTTTTTGTTCATTTCTTTTAGAGACAGGGTCTCGCTCTGTCGCCCAGGCTGGAGTGCCGTGGTGTGATCTCGGCTCACTGCAGCCTCCACCTCCAGGGCTCAAGCCATCCTCCCACCTCAGCCTCTGGAGTAGCAGGGACTGTGGGCATGCACCACCACACCGGGCTAATTTCTTCCACTTTTTGTAGACAGGGGTCTCACTATGTTGCCCAGACTGGTCTCAGACTCCTGGGCTCAAACGATCCTCCCACCTCAGCCTCCCAAAGTGCTGGGATTATAGGCATGAGCCACTGCCCCTGGCCTTTTAAAGACAGATTTTTAAATTATTTTCGACCTACTATTTTGAAAAATATACCAAAAAAGTTTAAAAACACAACAATGAATATCCCTCACCTAGAATGGATAACTGAGAATATTGACACGTGCTTTGGGGACTGGGCGGCTGGAGCCGCACAGACCAAGTGGCTTGGAAACCTCAGGGTCTCCAGGCTGCAGCTTCGAAACACAGCCTGTCCTCTGCCATCAGGGGGCTGGATGTGCTGGGCAGCGCTGCACCGGGTCGGCTCCCCCAGCTCTGAGGGACTCCGCTCAGCCTCTCCTGGCTAGGGGTTTTCTGGCCACCCTCTGGGTTCCGAGTCTTGCAGAATTATCCACCAGGCTCTGCCTTCCTCTCTGCAGGAAACCAGGCGAGCTGGGTCAGCGCCCACAGGGCCCCGTGCCCTCATCTTACCTAGTCCCAGCTGCCATCACCTTGTTCTTCATAAGGCCACCTTCTGAGGTCACGGGGGTTAGCGCCTCCACGGGGAATCTGTAGGGACTCTGTTCAGCCCGCAGCCCCTCTCACGTCCACACACTCACGACTGTGAGAACTCAGAAGACCCACTCCTCGCCCCTGCCAGGCCTTCTAGGGACAAGCTTGTTCTCTTCACCCTGGCACAGCCTGCGGCCAGTTTCCTTGTCTTTAATGGGATAGTCAGAGCTGCTGGGTCTGGTTCCTCCGGCCCAGCCATGGGGCAGGCACGCCTTCCTCCCTGCGCTTCTGGAAAGCGCGGCCTGCCACCGGGTCTCTCTGCGGGACCCAGCACCCCCGCCTCACCACCCATGATGTTCACGGCCTGTACCACACCCCAGGACGGGCTTTCTCCCTCCTGACCTGCACAGGGCACAGCCTTTGCCCATCAACCCACGATCCTACGTGGATCCAAGAGGGATCCATGTACTGGGGAAACAGTGGAATCCCATAGAAACTCCTCAAATCCAACTCGACCCACGACCAGCCAGTGGTCATTTCTGAATACTCCTCTTCTTAGTAGGTTCTACCCGCCAAGGGAGGCCAGGAAGGCTTCCTGGAGGAGGTGGCCAGAGGACTGAGGTGAGGCAGGCCCTGCTAGAAGTCACCACTCTGCCCCCCACACTGGGCCTCTCTGGGAGCCGCTGGGGAAGGCAGGAGAGGGGGCTGCTTGAGCCTGACACGGAGGAAGCTCCCACCCCCCCAGCCAGTTAGTGGGGGCAGGGGAGGCCAAGCGGCCCAGCTGGGCTTGCTCCCCGGGGTGGATTCCAAAATGGGGGGTGTGCAGGACCCTGGTGTTCTGGCTCAAGGCCAGACAGGAAAAACATTGAGCCCGTCGTCAACCAGCATAGACCAAGTCAAGAGCAGGCCTCTCCACCAAGGTGTGCAAATAAATAGACAGCAGTTATGTTTTTAATTAAGGAACGACACACAGTGGTTCAGTGGATGTGGCGGTGTGGACACGCAGCAGCCTTGGCCCTGTTGCCAGCACCTTGCCCTACACTGGGGGGGGTCCCTCAGCGGTGTCTTTGCACTTCCTAACCATGCAGGGTCCCTGCTTACAGGTCCCTCACCTGCCTGCCTGTGCTAACAGACACAGGGCAGCCCTGGCTTGGGAGGCGGAGCCCCTGAGGGGCTGCCTGCTGGGTTGGTGCCAGTGGGTCCCCACTGTATCCCCAGAAACCCAGAGGGTACAGGACTTCCCTGCTCTGTGCTCCACCCAGGTCCAGCCTGGCCCCCGTGACAGCTGCAGCCACCCCGCCCCAGGCTGCCTCCCAGGAGCCTGCTTGGCCCTGACGCTGGGGGCCCATCTTCCTCCATTCAGGCAGGTCTCCCAGTGTCGCACGGGTGTCCCCACTGTGGTCCCGCTGCCCTGGCCTGGCTGCCCGCTGGCCCTGGGAGTCACACTGCCCCGTAGCCCGCCTTGGCCAAAACCCACTCCAGATAGGCTGGGAGATGCCCGGGTCTGCCCTGCCTCCGTCTGCAGAGGGCGTCCCCTGGTCAGCCGGCGGACAAGGGGCAGTCTCAGGTCTCAGAGAGTGGGGCTCACCTCAGCAGCCCCAGTGCAGCCAGCCCTGCCCCTGCCACCTCTGGGCACGCCACCAGGATGCTGGGGGACAGGCACACAGGTGGAGGAGGCAAGTGCTGGGCAGCCAGGAGGCTGTGGGCACAGAGGGAACGGGGACACTCGGGGTCATTTCAGATACCTTGCGCATCCCCCGGGAGGTACCCAGTGGGGTGAGCACTAGGAGTCGGTCCAGGCACAGCCCCACTGACCTCTGGTGTCCAGTCAGCAGGTCCTGGGCAGCGGCCTCTTGTCCTCCTCTGAGCTGATTGCTCCCTGGGTTATCACCACCACCCGCCTTGGAATCCACCTGACTGCAGCCATGGCAACCAGGGGGGCCCCCATGCAGGCCCAGGACAGAGCTGAGGCTGAGTGACATCCCCCGGGTCTGACAGTGCAGGGCTGGCGCCTTATTTGGGGAAGCCTGTGGCATGGGACATGTGGGTGGGCAGGCAGGGAAAACCACCTGCTGTGTGGCAGCTCGGGCCTGGGTCGTAAGCCTGTGCGACGCCCCCGCCTCCCCCGCCTGCAGAAGACCTGCAGCCCCCCGGCGGCAGCCTGGGTCTACCAGGCCCTGGCCCTGGTCCTGGCAGGCAAATGTTTCAGCAGGTTCTTGTCTTAGGAAGCCCAGGGTTGGGGGGCCCACGTCTGTCCACATAGGAGGCAATGGCTCATTTGGTTTCTGAAGCATCTTTGCTGTGAGCTCCAGTCCCCACGGTCTTGCTGGAAAATGTGAAGGTCCCACCGCCCATTGGCCAGGGCAGCCGTGTCCACACCACGTGGTCTCTGGGAGCTGGGTGTGGCTCCCAGCTCTGAGCTTGTCCCGGAAACAGGGTAAAGACTGACGAGGGGCCGCACTTCTCCAAGGGCTGGGGTCTCCATGGCAGCACCCCACCCACCCGGCCCAGTCACACTCCCCTGTGCCAGAGCAGTGCAGACGGGACCAGGCCAGGATGCCCAAGGGTCATGGGCCAGGGATGGGTAGCCCCCGAACAGCCCTCTCTGGGCACTGGCTTCAACAGGGAAGGGGGTGAAGGCTCTTAGTAGGAAACCAGGGGGATCTAGGTCAGAGCCAGGCACAGGGCGGAAGCCCCGCCTTAAGTAGAAGGAAGAGGCCCTGCCGTGCATTCGAGCAGCCGTACCCGGGCAGCAGAGGCCCTGAGAGACTCACCGAGGACCCTCCGGCTGGGGTGGCCCCTCCAGAGCGCTTACTGCCCAAAGAGGGTGGGCGGGTGGCCGAGGGTGCCTTGCAGGGCCGCCCAGCCCCTTCCTGACCTCTCTCCATCCCTCAGACTCCCAGGACAGGCCCTGGAACCCCCCCGCCTTCTCCCCAGCCCTGCTCACGGTGGCCGAGGGGGACAACGCCACCTTCACCTGCAGCTTCTCCAACACGTCGGGCAGCTTCGTGCTGAACTGGTACCGCATGAGCCCCAGCAACCAGACGGACAAGCTGGCCGCCTTCCCCGAAGACCGCAGCCAGCCCGGCCACGACCGCCGCTTCCGAGTCACGCAACTGCCCAACGGGCGAGACTTCCGTATGAGCGTGATCGGGGCCCGGCGTGATGACAGCGGCACCTACCTCTGCGGCGCCATCTCCCTGGCCCCCACGGCGCAGATCAAAGAGAGCCCAAGAGCAGAGCTCAGGGTGACAGGTGCAGCCCAGGAGGCCCTGGGCCGGGGCGGGCCGGGGTGGGTGCCCCTCCTGCGCAGGAACGTGAGCCCAAAGGCGGTAGGGCAGGGACCCCCACAGCTCCAGGGCAGGGCTCCGTCCCACACCCAGGGAACGGTGACTGGCATCCTGTCCTCTCACTCTGGAAGCACCCCACCCCTCTAGTCTGCCCAAACCCTGCCCCTGACCCTCCAACCTAACCCCCGTCCTAACCCCTGACCTTTGTGCCCTTCCAGAGAGAAACCCAGATGTGCCCACAGCCCACCCCAGCCCCTCACCCAGGCCAGCCGGCCAGTTCCAAGGCCTGATGGTCGGCATCGTGGTGGGCCTGCTGGCCAGCCTGGTGCTGCTGGCCTGGGTCCTGGTCGCCATCTGCCCCCGGGCTGCACAAGGTAACGTTACCCCAGGCCCTCAGCCTGCTCCCCCAACCCTGCTGGCAGCCTTCCCTCTGGCCTCCCCTCCCTCCACCCTTCCTCTCCTCCCCACCGGTGATGAAGGCCTTTGAGCTAAGACCCCCAACCCTCCCCCGAGGAGTGCTGCTGAGGGTCTGCATGGTGATCCCAAGTGTGTTTGTCTTCAGGAGCCATGGGAGTCCAGCGCACCGACCAGCCCCTGGTGAGTGTCTCCTTGTGCCCTCCTTCCCAGGTGGGCAGAGGTGGAAGCACATGGCCTGCAGGTCTCGCAAGCCATTGGGGCCAGGACCCCACCTCCCCGCCCCGGCAGCAACCTCAATCCCTAAAGCTACGACCTGGGGCCCCAGCCCGCTTACAGTCTCCGGGGCTGGGGCTGAATGGCTCATGCACATGGCCGCCTGTGAGGGCGTGGGGTGGGCTCGGTCACTTCCTACCTTACGATGGAGAGAGGAGAGCTGGAAAAGTCACATTTTGGAATCCTAAATCTACAAGAATGCCAGGGAAATTTTAGAAGGGGACATCGAGCCAGAGAGGAGGGGTGGCGTCCCCAGGTCACACAGAGGGCAGTGATGGGACAGCCCGGGGCAAGCGGCCCTCTGTGAGGGGCCTAGGCTCGGTAACCGCACTGCAGCCAGGCTGTGGAGCCGCAGGCCTCCTTCCTGGGGTGGGCCATGGGGGCTGACTCCCCTTCCCTCTCTCCCGAAAGAAGGAGGACCCCTCAGCCGTGCCCGTGTTCTCCGTGGACTATGGGGAACTGGACTTCCAGTGGCGAGAGAAGACCTCGGAGCCCCCCGCGCCCTGTGTCCCTGAGCAGACGGAGTACGCCACCATCGTGTTCTCCAGTGGACTGGGCGCCTCGTCCTCGGCCCGCAGGGGCTCAGCCGAAGACCCTCGGAGTCCCCGGCCGCTGAGGCCAGAGGACGGACACTGCTCTTGGCCCCTCTGACGGGCTTCCTTGGCCACCAACATCCTGCAGACCCTCCACCGCGGGCCTAGGCTCAGCTCCTTCCCTCAGGAGGCACAGGCAGCGTGCAGGGCGGTGCAGGCCACCCAGGGGCTGAGCTGCCTGGGGGTGACGGGGGTGCTGTCCTGCACCTCCGCCAGCCCTGCCAGGCACAGCCCCACTGCAGGACTCATGTCTGGATGCCCACAGTGAGCCCAGGCAGCCGCTGTCACCGTCCCCCACAGGGAGGGCCGGATGCCTGGACAGGGCTGCCTGTGTCCGGCTCCCTGAACCTCACTGCTGCTGCTGCTGCCGCCGCCGCGGCCTGGGGTTCAAGACGCCGTGGCCCTGCCTGCCGCCCCCGGAGCCCCTTGCCTGAACTTGGGGGCCTGGTTGAAGACTGCCTTGGACCAGCCAAGGTGTCCCTGGTGGGGGCATCCCAAGACGCCCTGGACACAGGGCCCAAGACTGGGCACAGGGTGGAAGGTGTGTGGGGCTGGGGACTCCCTGGGAGCCAGCTGCTCTCCCAGGTCTAGAGAAGTTTCATGGAAAGCTCCAAGAGCTCCTGGCTGTGATGGGGGGGCAGGAACCCCCTCCACCTTACACGTGCCCAGGCAGCGCCTCAGGCCTTTTGTGGGGCAGGGAAACTGAGGCAGTAAGAGGCCAGGCAGAACTGGAAGCCATTTAGGCCCAGCCAGCGCTCTGGCGCCCCCGCCACACCATCCCAGCCCCTCTTACCACTCAGGTAAGGGACACCCTAGGCTACCTTGGTCGGGGGCAGGGCTGGGGCTGACTAGCCCTTCCTAGCTGTGGCAACCTCTGTGGTTTGGGGGAACTGGTGCAGGCACCCAGGGCCCCCCATTCACCCACACTGGGGGTTCTCCTTGGCACCCAGCGCCCCTCATTTGCCCACACTGGGGGTTAGCTTAAGCACCCATTCACACGACTATTTAAAGGCGTTTGGCCGGGCTCCCACCAGGGCCTGGGGGGGAAGGTACAGGCGACCCCCTGGGCCGAGCACCGCGCTGTGGCCTGGCCACCCCTCCCATCCACACACTGCACCCCACTCCTGGGGCAGGGCCACCAGCATCCAGGAGGCCAGTGGGCACTTGGGATGAGGGACCCCCTTCCGTGTGGTTCTATTATAATTATAATTAAATATGAGCGCATGCTAAGGAGCTCTGTCCTGTCGGGCGGCTCTGGGGGCAGTGGCAGGAGGGAAGGAGGTCTCCAGGGAGAAGCAGGGCTGCGGCCAGGCCGAGGCTGCAGGTGGAAGGTGCTGGCCACTTCCTGGAGCGGGTCAGGCCTTTCCTTCACGGTCCCAGAAACACACAGGCCCTCCCAGCCCTGCTTGCCCCACTCACACATGCAGCCCTCCAGTGAGAAGTGCCTACAACTTCTCAGGGCGGGGGCACCATCCTCCCCACGTCCAAGCCTTTTGGGGGTCCCATGGCCCCTGCCCCCAGGCCTCCTGGCCAGGCACAGGCGTCCCTAAGTGGCTGTGCCTGTGTCTGCCTGGCTCCAGCCTCCCCACCCCCATGTCCCCTTGCCCGCCAGTCCCTACAGGCAGGGGTGGTGCCTTCTGCCAGGGCTCCCACATCGGGATGGGAGGACTCCCCCGGGCTATGAGGGAGGGGCCCAGAGGCTTTGGGCAGGACTCAGCATCTGCGGGTCCCTCCCCAAGTACACGGGGCGGGGTGGGGGGGGTCGTCAGGGGAGGCAGGACCACGCCTGCTTGAGCCCTATCACCTTGCTGGGGTCCTTGGCTGCTGGCAGCAGGGACAGTGCAGAGAAGGGAGCCCTGCCAGGCCCTCGGGCAGCACAGCCACCCACCCACTGCCCCTCCCAGGGGCTCATTCTGTGCTTGCCTCCCTGAAGCCCGGTCCTGGAGGGGGCGAGGCTGCCATGCCTGTGCTGGGGATGCTATGGGAACTCAAAGCAAGGCCTCGGAGGGAAAGCGGCCCGGGCTCTTTGCAGAAGATGCGGCTGGGCCTGCAGAACCCGCTCTGGAAATGCGGGAAGCCTGTGCAGAGGCTGAACTCCAGGCACCCGGACCCCTGGCCCCGAGGTTTCGACACTGCACACATTCAGGTTCTTCCTCTGCAATTTGTAAATTTAACACCATCCCAATAAAAAACCACATTTCTGAAACTATAATGGTCATAGGGAAAAATTAACAAGCAAGTAACAGCCAAAAGAAACCATGAAAAGAAAGTGAAAAGGGATCAGCTTTATGAGCTCCAGGGAAACTGACTGTAATGCGAGCAGGTGGGATTAGCATGAGAAGAGACAGAACAGGCCCAGTCCCTGCGACCCAAATCAGAGCGGGGAAAGAGGCTTTTTAACCAGCTGCACAGGGACAGGGGTAGCCATTTGGAAAAGTATTAAGTTAGACTCCTGTACACATGCCAAATGCAGCAGAGAGAGAAGCATAAAAAACCCTACGAGAAACAAGAAACGGTGAGTGCATTCTTACAGTGTGGGAGGAGACGGGATTCCCAAAAATAAAGGACAACCATCAGGGAGGAATGAAAGAAGAGATTGAGACACTGAACTCTGTATATGGGAAACAAAAAACTTTAGCTTGGCAAAAAAGATCATAAACCAACTGAGGGAGAATATTTGCACCATCACAAAAGAATATGCCAGCAGGCACACCTCTAGACGGAGAAAATGAGGTGAGCTTGCTTCCGTGGGCACGCCGCAACACGTGCAGACATATGTGTGCATGCGAGTTTGCATGTGTGCATACACGAGGTATTGCGTGCAGGTGTCTATACATACGTGCGCATACGTGCCTTACATACATGTGGCAGTGCCGTGTACATACATACGCCCCCAAAATAGTGAAAGGGTGTTCAGTTTCTCTCAATAACAAAAACACAAGTTAAAACTGCGCCCAGCAGGCTGGTAGAGCTCCGACACCGAGCGACTGCTGGCGAGGCTGCAGGGAGCAGGAGTGGGGCTGGCGGAAAGCCAAGCGGGATCCCGCGGGCGCCGTCTGGCAGGCAGCGGGCACTGGCCCCGTGCCCTGTCAACACCCGAGCCCCCGCAGAAACACTTCCCAGGGGTCACCGGCCAAGCTGCGCCATGGCAGAGCACACGGCGGGGGGTGGGGGTGGCTCACGGCGCTGGCCCGGCAGTCGCGAAACCGCCCAGGGCTGGGGCCGCAAGAGCAGGGCGGTGGCTCAGGGCTCCCCACCGAGGGTCAGGTCGCCGGAGACCATGAGGGGACGCCGCGCGGGGCAGGGCAACTCGCTGTCCCCAAAGGCAGGGCATCGTGAAAATGACACGGGAGCCATCTGAGCATCAAAAAATGCCACATGACAGTTAAAAACTTAACCAACGCCGGGCGCGCGGCCGGTCATCCCAGCACTCGGGGAGGCCGAGGGGAGGGTCGCTTGAGCGCAGGAGTTCGAGACCAGCCTGGGCAGCAAACGGAGGCCCTGCCTCCGGAGAGAAGTTTAAAAAGCATCCAGGTGCAGCCCGGGCTCCTCGGGAGGCCGAGGGGAGGGTCCCTGGAGCCCAGGGTCGTGGCCGCAGCGAGACACGGAGGCGCCGCCGCCCCCAGCCCCGGCGTCGGACGAGACCCGGTCTCAGAAAGGAAACGGCGGAACCGACCGACACACCCGAGTCCGCTTAGGAGACAGGAGCTCAGATCGATGCTGGAGCGGGCGGGAGGGAGGAGGCGGTGCGGCCCCGGGCCGGGCGCGCTCCATGGCGGCCGCGGAGACCACGCGGCGCCGTCGGCGCTGCGCCCCCCGCCTTCCCGTCAGGCCGCCCAGCGCCGCGCACTCACTTTTTCCGTCCCCGGCGCCCGCCGCGTCGCAGCCGGCTGCGCTCCCGCCACCCACGCGCCCCGGGCGGGTCGTCCCCGCCTCGCAGGCACCGCCGCGGCCTCAGGAGCGCCCGGGGGTGGCCGGCTCGGGGCTCCCCGGACAGTCGTGGCGTGGGCGCGGGGGCGGGGCGCGGGGGGCTCGGCGCTTGGAAGGGGCGGCCCGACCCCCGCCTCGGCCCCCGGAGCCTGGCCCGCGCCCCGCCCCCGCAGCCCGCGCGCTCTTCCCGCGCCCCCCGGCCCCGCAGCGCCCCCCACCGCGCCCGGCAGCGCCGCCCCGGCTCTCCCCGCTCACCCCGTCCGGGTCTGCGCTGGGACGCAGGTCCTGCAGGCCGCGTGGATGGAGCGCAGGCTCCAGGGGACCGGGCGGGGCTCAGGGCAGGGCTCCCAGCCGGTGCTCCTCGGGCGACCTGATTGCGGCGCCAAGGCCCCGGGGGCTGCGCGGTGAGTCCTGGAGGCCTCAGCCCTCCTGGGTCAGGACTCCAGCGTGGACCAACCTCACTTTGCGTCTGGGTGAGGCTCCTGAGTTTCCGGAGAGTTCAGGATGTGGCGGGTCCTCCAGAGGGTGACCGAGGCCGTGTGATCACACAGTCGCCGTGGCCCCCTCAGCTGTGGCACAGTCGCGCCCCTTCTGTTTTCTCCTCATACCTCTGACCCCGGTCAGGCTGCCCCACCCGCCAGTCGGGGGCCCCTGTGTTCGTCCAGGGGTGTGGCCCGAGGGGACGCTGCTGGGGCGCTGGCCGGCGCTGTGAGAGAGCAGGACGCCTGCCCGGGGCACGGGGCACCATCGTCCACCCACTGCTTGGCCACAGAATCCAAGGTTGGTTCGAGGTCTTAAGTTTATCTCAATTTAAACTACAAAACCCAATTATTACGTACATGGAATAGTTCTTAGCCTTAAAAAGATGGACGTTTGTGCACCACACCGACAGCAGCACAATTCACAACGGCGGCCCGTGTCCACTGCAGGGTAGGATCACTCAGCCTTAGGCAGAAGGGGTTCCCACACCCGCCGCAGGGTGGAGGAGCCTCGAGGACGCCACGCCGAGGCACGCAGCCACAAAAGGACGGACACCGTGTGACTCCACGCACACGGTTTCCCAGAATGGCCAGTTCACAGGCAGAGAAAGCAGACGGTGGGGGTCGGGGCCAGCCGGGGGAGCCAGTGGGAAGTGAGAGTTTAATGGTGACACTTTCCGTTTTGGAAGAGAAAAAGTTTCCATTTCTGGGCTGAGAGGTCGGCCGCTGAACCGCAGAGGCCGGGTGCGGAGGGTGGGCCTCGACCACTGCCTGGCCTGTACAGGCTGCCCCAGGAGCAGGGGCAGGGGCAGGAGGGCCGGGTATGAGCTCACGGCCCATGACAGCCGGCAGCCTCCAGCCTCACTGATGGACAGAAGGGGAAACTGAGGCCGGGGAGGCGTACCTGTAGTAGTGAGGGGTCTCCGGAGAAATAGAACCAATAGGCCGGGTGTGGCGGCTCACGCCTGTAATCCCAGCACCTTGGGAACCCGAGACGAGCAGGTCACCTGACTTCAGGAATTCGAGACCAGCCAGGCCAGCATGGTGAAACCCTGTCTCTACTAAAAATAGAAACATTTTTAGTAGGGGCCAGGCTGGTCTCAAACTCCTGACTCCCACCCGCCTGGGCCTCCCACAGTGCTTGGTTGATAGGCGTAAGCCACCACACTAGGCCTTGGTTTTGTTTTGTTTTGTTTTGCAGATGCCAGCTATTAAGGACACCCCCTCAAATATGGTAGTGGAGACTTCCTATTGCATGGAGCCTAATAGAAGCATGTTTTCTGGCAAAGAAAAGGGAAATTAGCAAGCATGGAAGGGGAGGTTAGGATCCTGCTGTTTAGCCAAGAAGCTCATGCTCACCTGCTCTGCACCCAGGACTGGGAAATGCCATGGGGCACCCATCACATTGGAAAAACAGTAAAGGCCAGGCACAGTGGCTCACACCTGTAATCCCAGCACTGTGGGAGGCCGAGGTGGGCAAATCACCTGAGGTCAGGAGTTCGAGACCAGCCTGACCAACATGGAGAAACCCTGTCTCTATTAAAAATAAAAAATTAACCGGGCGTGGTGGCGCACCCCTGTAGTCCCAGCTGCTTGGGAGGCTGAGCCAGGAGAATTGCTTGAACCTGGGAGGCGAAGGTTGCGGTGAGCCGAGATCGTGCCATTGCACTCCAGCCTGGGCAACAAGAATGAAGCTCCATCTCAAAAAAAAGGAAAGTCAAAAGGCAGATAATGTGAAGGGAAAGAGGCCTTCC